GGCCGCTTCTGCAGTCGTTAATCTGGGATCCATTTCGATGCTCCTCTTGACAGCCCTTTTTTTCCTCTCTGAAAGGACGCTGCTCAGTTGTTTCCTGAACTGCACGATGATTCTGTTGACTGTCGAAAGCGGGATTCCCAAATTCGGCGAAATTTGCCGCCGACTTATTCCACCATCTGCTTGACCAACTATCCTTCCTCTAACAAAATCTGACAATTCGAGAGAACCTTGAGTTCTAGCCATGTTGTAGCACAAGATAATTAGTGTGCGGACCATTTTTATTTATATAGTGCCCTGTGAACGCAAATTAGTTAGCATAAATCAGTTAAATGACGAAAAATTAGGTGTCTATTTACTTGTGACCACTCAGTGTATATATTCGTCTTAGCTTAACTTTCAGACACTGTATGGCAGTATAATGTTAAGATAAGTCCGATGCCAACAAACAAATGTAATAAATTCAAAATAAATTAAGTGGGGTGGGGTGGGGGGAATGAAACGGAAAAAGTGTTACTTTTCCTGGACTGAACATAATGTTAAGGTGTAAAAAATGCTAAATTTCCTCACTGTATTAGTTAATATAATAATTAATGATGTACTTCTTTTTCCTTTTATTACCCAACTTTAAAAAAAATCTTAGTTTAACTTTTCGACACTGCATGAGAGTATGGTATTGTACGCAAATTTTTTACGATTCTTGGTCTCTGTTAGTTAACATGTTAAACTTTCCAATAATCTGGTTTGTAGCAGTTTTTCTTTTTATAACATGACACCATTCAAAGACCAACACAAAATCAAATTATTCAGAAAATTTAAACAACAAGTGATCCCAAGATAACGTGTTAGTAAGAGAGAAATGACTATACATAAATAGATGTACAAATCCTTCTTCTTTTTCTCGAGATTAATAATATATTGAATAACAGACAGGGCTACGCATTTATTTTTTTATACTTGGACAGCTTATCTAGTTAAACAATACAAAATAATTAACTTGTATAATCATATATGCATATTTCAAAATTTCATATATAAATATTAGACTGGTTTAAGAGTGAAAAAAACGTGGAATTCGCTAAAAGAGGTATAATTTGTTAAAATGTGGTGAATCAAAGCATTAATTGGATTAAGAATTAATATTTTAAACGGCTTGTATAACTAAGTAATGCACAAGTTAGTAGTACCAATTATACATAATCAATGAATTATTTTAAAAAAAGATTACTGCGTGAGTAAAAGACGTATGAAAACAACACAAACTATTGTGACGATTTTTTAACACTAAGCCATATTACTAAACTTGCCTCCAAATATTTATCGTTTTCTATAACGTAAGATTTATAAGCTACAACAAAAAAACTGTTTTGTACTGATATTTGAAAGTATTATCTATAGGAAGAAAATAATACTGATATGCACTGTTATGATTACTTAAAATAATGATGATATAATTCTGTAATTTCAGTGTATATCGTCTTATTATTTCGCCATTAAGCATTCTATTTCATTGTTTTACAAGAGATTCACTTAAGCCACTGTTTTGTATTTGTTTTCCCTTCGTAGTTAGAGAAACGTGCTCAAGTTCTCGTAAAACTCGTTATTCCTAGCAATTTGTCAACAAAATCACTAGTTTCGAGAGAAGAGTGCTTCCTTCTTTTTCTAAAGAACATTACTGATTTATATTTATTGAGAACAATTCTGTTTCTTATAGTTTCATTACTAAGTGATATACTTTATGATTCTATAACATATTAACTTATTTGTTTTATTTATTTTGTAATCATAATTACAGAAACATACTCATAGTTTTATTTAACATTCTTCCAAGAAATGTAACGTTTACTTTAACCATTAGTGTTTGTTTTAATTAGCATTATTTATTCTAAAATACAACCATTTAAGGTTTTAAGAAAGTAATTAAAATGAACCATCATTATCTTGGTATGTCACACATAAACTTGTGAAATTATAATGTCAAATGTAAAACACAGCATATATTTGATACTGAAGAGCTTTTATCTTAGGTTTACATAATAAATAGACAAACCATTGCTAAAGTTTTTTTAAGATGATTATTTTTATCTTGAACTGAAGAAAACCTTAGCTCTGTATTTCTTAATCTACTTTTTCAAATGAGATTTATTCATTTAAAAAGATATAATTCTACTAACAAGTAAAACATCCAAAATATCTTAAGGTGTACTACACGTTATTTCTAGTAAAAACAGTAAAAATGTTGGCTAAAGAAAATGAAACCCAGTGCCTTGAACAATTATCATTGTTAACCTCATTGTTCTTTCTCTTTTATCATAAATAATTATACTATGGTGAAGAAGGTATCAAGTTATTGAATCTTATTACATATATTTAAATTACAGCTGCTAAATATATTTTTCACTTCATACTACGAGTATCTTTTATTTTCTACAAAAAAAAAACAACAGTGCAAAATATGTTGCCATATAGCAGAACATACATGTCTGAATAAGATTTGTTTGGTTGTTTTCAAATTTCTCGTAAAGCTACTCAATAGCTATTTGTGATAGCCATCCCTAATTTATTAAGTGATACATTTTAGGGAGGAGCTACTGGTCAACACCACCTACTACTTCTCTTATCTATGAAATGTGTGATTGACTCTTAAAATGCCCTCATTGATAAAATTGCAACAACGTTGGGTGATGGGTCTCAAGCTCACGGATTGCTAGGCCCATTTTTGGGAGAAAAGTGCTACCTTCTTTGTCTAAAGAACACTATTGATTTTTATTTATTGGGAATATTTAAGTTTCTTCTGTTTCTTAGTTTTATTCTTAATAAATAATTTACTTGATTATACTATAACACATTAACTTAGGCCCCCGTTTTAATTTATTTGGTAGTCATAATCACGGAAATATGATCAAAGTTTTGTGAAACATTTTCCTTGGAAGTCAATATAAAAGTATCTTTTCTCTTAAATGGTTCGAGATTGTTTTATAACATTTATTAATTCTAATTTGACAACTGTATTTGGATATCAACCCACACTACAATGAGCTGTGTATACTGTAGTTTCCAGCTGTATCAAATGTCAACCCACATCATATCCAGCTGTACTAGTATTATTATTATGAACTTGGATTATGGCTATAAATCACAAGATGTAGAAAAGAACAAATTTTATGATGATTTTGTTAAAAATATAACTACAGATAAAATGAAATATTACACTCTTTGTAGTGACCATGTCCACACCATGTACAGTTTTTCACCAGTTTATCATTCTATAAAACTGTATGCTAACATTATATACAGCTATCAGATCAAACATGCATACAATATATGATAAAACATAAGGTTTGGCAAATAAACAGAAGTTTTTACCACACTTCTCACAGCAGTTCAGTTCAGTATACGGAAGAAAGCATTACCAATAAAATTTCATCTTTGTTTAATGTGGCAAACACAGTTCACCACATTTTTCTAAAACTATTAAACTTTTACACTTGAATGTAAAGGTTTAACCACAGCTTTCCGTGACAATCCTATCCTTAATCCTGTAGCTGGAAGTTTCACCAAATTTCCTGCAGGTCTAAGTCCTGGACTTGAAATGTTTCTTTTACAAGGTTTTTCTGGGTTTATAAGCACTGATGAATATTTGGGAAATGCACTTTTTAAAATGGGTTTGTTTTGGTCCGTGTCTGTTTCAACACCTTTAGTATAGAAAGATCCAACAAACAATAAATACAAAAGAAACTTAGCATACATCACAAATCAAACTATATAACTTTGCCATAAAACATCATAAAGGAAGACTGTTAAAGATTGATAAACTAGTAAGTAATGCTTTCACATTTCAATTATAACTCTTCATTTTCTACTGACAGTCTAAAAGATTGTGACAAAAGACAATGTGTCAACTGAATATATGGGAGAGCTAAAACCTAATCATTACAGTGTGAATACTACATGTAATATGAATATTTAGTTTCGTATAGATAAATATCTGCTTTTCAATCAATACCTGAAAAGAAATGAACAATCAAAAAAAGGAATTATTAGAACTGAAAAGAGGTAACTCAAAACAAGAATAATTATCAAGCTTACAAAAAATTTCTCAAACTCAAATAGTCCAATTTATATTTCTACACCTTTATTTAAAATTAAATATATACATACACGATTTATTTTAAATTTTCTCACCAATGAAAGAGCACACATTCATAGGTTTGCAAAAAAGAATTTTTGTTTCCTGCATATTATTCTTTAACATAGAATCTGCTTACTATAATTTGATAAATAAGAAACAAAAGTATAATATTCTGTGTAGTCCCTGTAACTTTGTTTTACATATGATACAGAAGTATATAAAACTCCTTGTACCTTCATTTGACATAAACAGAAGTATAAACTTCCTTATAATCCCTGTAACTGTGTCTTACATAAGAAACAGAAGTATAAACATCCATATAATCCCTGTAACTATGTCTGATGTAAGAAACAGAAGTATAAACATCCATATAATTGATGTAACTATATTTGATTTAAGAAACAGAAGTATAAACTTCCTTATAATCCCTGTAACTTTGTCTTACATAAGAAACAGAAGTATAAACATACATATAATCCCTGTAACTATGTCTGATGTAAGAAACAGAAGTATAAACATCCATATAATCCCTGTAACTATGTCTGATGTAAGAAACAGAAGTATAAACATCCATATAATCCCTGTAACTGTGTCTGATGTAAGAAACAGAAGTATAAACTTCCTTATAATCCCTGTAACTTTGTCTTACATAAGAAACAGAAGTATAAACTTCCTTATAATCCCTGTAACTGTGTCTTACATAAGAAACAGAAGTATAAACATCCATATAATTGATGTAACTATCTATACTTGACATAAAAAACAGAACTATAAACCTTTTAACCCTTTCGCCACAAGATTTTTAAGGACTTGCATTCAAAATTTAATTTGACTATTTTTTATGTTATACCAATTAGTATAGTATTAAATCATAGTTAATAATCCATATTTTAATAATATATATATATATATATATAAGTTTTAAGTTCTTAATTTTATAAGGCAATATAAATGTGAGAAAATCAGACCCCTCTTGCCACATCAACCCACCACATCCTCTCATTCAGGATTTGTTAATAGATAGTTCTCTCTTACATTTCATACTACATCATTTATAACCAATAGAAAACTAAGATTTTCAACTGTCAAATGACATATTATTTTACGTTGTTTTCTAAACAGAGAATTGTCAATTTCTCTTTTAGAACAAGATTCATTCCCATGGGAAGCATATTGACTAGCTTGGATGAATTTGTAACGACTCTTGTGGCATAGTTAGAAAGCCAGACAAATTATGATAGTCATGGGTCATTATCTGTTTTTTTGCATGTTATTCTATGTTATTTGGTGCATTTTTTAATTAAATAAAATTTATTTAGTGCACTACAACCATTAGTATATATATAAAAAAAAGTCTAGTTAAGTGTCATCAACAGTCGACAGCAAAAACAAGAAGAATGAATTAAATACTTTATTTCCTGTTTTTTACACATGAAAGAGAAGTATAAACTTCCTCATGATCCCTGTAACTGTGTCTTACACACGAAAGAGAAGTATAAACTTCTTCATGATTCCTGTAACTGTGTCTTACACACGAAAGAGAAGTATAAACTTCCTCATGATCCCTTTAACTGTATCTTACACACGAAAGAGAAGTATAAACTTCTTCATGATTCCTGTAACTGTGTCTTACACACGAAAGAGAAGTATAAACTTCCTCATAATTTCTTTACCTTTTCTTGTCACAAAATTCTTTTTCTCAGTTTTATTTTCTTTGAAACATTCAGGAGATGGGCCCTCGTCTTCAGAAAAATTTGAATCACCTTCCTGATCTTCAGCACTCCTTTTGTCTTTTTTTTCATCAAGATAGTCCTTGTTAATTTGTTTTTCATTAACAGTTTCTGAAAATAAACGTAAAAAGCCAACAAAACGTTTTTTTATTTTTTCCCCCATTTAATCACGCACATTTAAAGATCACAAGTACAAGTTTTATTAAAAATTGATTTTAGTAGTAAAAAGTAAATTTCTAGTTCTAACTGTCAGCTAACCTTATGTAATAAACTTAAGTACTTTAGCTGCTGAAATTAAGTTAAAAAACAGTAAAAGTAACAATAAAAAGTTTAAAACATGTTTTTGTAGATGTCTACAATTTACTGATTAAGCTGTAGATAATGCAACACACCAATTAAAGGAGTATGATGGAATTTATTAACATGTTGAAAATCACTTATACTTAGATGTACATGTTACTTAAATGTGATTACCTTTCTTAATATCAGGCACTACACTTTTCTTTTCCCTGTTCGAAATCTGTATGGCTGTTTCAAGGTGTCGCTGGAAAACTTTGTCTGAGACTGACAGCCTAAAATGTTAATCAGTTTATAAATAGTTTTCAAAACTGATACACCAGACCATAAACAAACCCAGAAAATCTAACATCAACTTTAATTTCGTCTGCATTACATTTTAATAATGTAGAAAGTTCATCTTGTACAATAAGTTATTACAAAAAGCACTACTTCAAAAATGTTTTAACTCTTTGATCCTACTGAAACCAATGTTATAAATTTTTTATTAGGAATCTGTCTCCATGAAAATAACTGTGCTTAACCACTTTACTTAAAATGATTTTGTATCATACAAAGTTGAGCAATTATACATGTAACAGAATAATATGTTAGTGCATCAAACAAAGATTAATGACAATACATGTAACAGAATAGTATGTTAGTGTATTAGACATAGTTGAACAACAATACATGTAATGTAACAGTAATTGAAAGCTTTTTATTGGCCACATTTCTACAGAACATTCTATGCATTTAATGGCCTATATTTTGCACATATTTATTGGAAACATTAGAGATTTAAAGCTAGAATAACAAGTAGAGTTCACTTTCTTTTACATTCTGAAGTTTACTTTTTCTATTGCTTATTAATGTATTTAGTACAACAGGTGTAAATAGAGCTGTGCAAATAAGTCAATCACCTATGACATCTCTTAGCATTATGTAAAATATTTAAGTGAAATTACAATTAAATCAATTAATGTCATGAAAATAATCAACTAATCAAAACTAATGTTTCTGATCTTACTATTTTAAATCATTCCATCTATCCAAGTAATCAAAATATTTCCATGGCATCAGTTTGTTGTTAAACATAAAGCTACATGATGGGCTGTCTTTGCCTCTATCCTATCCCTAACTGTGGGTATCAAAATATGATTTTAATGTTATAAGTTTGGTGTTTATTTCAATTTTGGTCAGCTTTGTGCAGCACGTCTTAATGATTGAGGGTCTCAGGCTTAATTTCCACTTCTACAAAACTTGCCCACCCTGTCAGCCACAGGGGTTTTTTATGTTTTCTTTTTTTTTATGGAAAAACATTAAAGCTCTCTGGCACAGTCACTAATTTTTAACTCTAACTACAGAGAAGACAAACAGTGAACAGCACTCACCACCAACTCTTCAGCTACTTTAGTTTTAAATAATTTTCTGCTTTTTACATTATATTATGTTTCTAATTTATAACTTTAATGTTAAATAACCAGGTGCTGAACTAGATACAGACCTCATAATTCAACTTTTTGTCATCTAAGTTTTAATTTCTTATTTTTAAGATGAAATATCAAAATAAATTCTCCATCTGCAACTCTCGGTGTCACAAGACATGGTGCTATGGTTTCTCACTTACATATTTTTTTTCTCTTTCCTTATATGTACTTCATATTATTCAACCAATCAGAAACATGTGGTATAGATACTGACAAGCTACAATATAGATATTCAACCTCTTAATTTATTGAGATATCACTGAGCATTGAACAGGTATACTAGATAGTATCAAGAGTGAAGAATAGAAAATAATTATATAATAACTTACAATGAGTTACCTTCGTGTGATGTAGAATCTCACAATTACCAGTCACTTCATACTCACTCTGAAATTAATAAAAAAAAAGCTACCTTTGATGTGGAGCTTCTTGTCCCAAGTTTTGTATTATTTTACTTTCCACCTGGATATGCTGGCTCTCTAATCTATTCAAAAGCATGCTTGTCTCATTTATTTTCCGTTTTTCCTTTTTTACATTCTTTAATCTTTCAGTTTTTTCTGTTTTGGACCTTTTTGTTGGCGGAGTTGAAGAGTCTGCAAAGTCATCTAAGAATAAAAACTAATATTTTATAATGTGCACTAACTGTTCCATTAATAGTTGGCAGGATCAGATAATATTAAGGCAAAGCACATAACATCTAAATACTACTTCTATTGTTTTCAATAACTGTTCCTTAAGCAGTCTTGGTATCAGATGATACTGTGGCATAGTACCTAACTTCTAAATACTAGTGTCTGCACTAACTGTTCCTTTAACATTTTGCAGTATTAGATAACATAGTGGCAAAGTACCTAACTTATAATACTTTTTGTATCATTTGCAATAACTGTTCCTTTAACAGTCTGCAATATGAGATAATGTTTTGGAAAAGTAACTCATTTCTAAGTACTATTATGAGGTATTTCAGTTTTTTGACAAAAAAGAAAAGGAATTGTTTTATTAATGTAAAAAAACACTAATTTTCAAGATACCTTTAATATAACAGGATATTCAATTTCAGAACTGTTCCTACTTCAAAACACAAGTGACTAAGAGCATTCACTTACCTTCATCGCTCCCTCCACCACTAAACTTGGCATAATTAACACTCTTTCTGGCCCTGGGGGAGGAATAAAAATTAATAATTATGTTCAACATAGTTTATGTGCTTATCAATTCAGACAGCTGACAAAGGTATAGCATGTTCTAGTCTTTTTAAATATTTATTTCTTGTTTAAAATTCAATTGCTTGTATTTTCAATCAATTACCCAATTTTTTTTCACTAATTTGAAGGCTTAACCCTTTTGTTTTGACTCACTCCTCTGGATCAGACAAATTTCATCACTCTTCACGAATCTCTATATAAACCATAAAGAATAATTAAAGTAAAGCTCTACATAGTTAAATGACAATCATGAAAATGTCTCTTTAGAGAGAATTAAGATCTTCCAAAAATAGTTTAAACATTAAACAATGATTGCAAAAATGTGTCTATAAATGATTATAAGTTTTCCTCAAAAAACGAAATGTTTGAATGTTTTGGAAACATATAACATTTTGCAGGTTGAATACCATGTACATGTTTAAGTTGAGGAACACAACATATAACAAACATAAAATATATAAATGGTGGCACTTTCTGCAAGATCCTGACTTGTGTCATTGATTTGAACAGAAATATTTAACTAACAGATACAAGCTTATTGTTAAAGAAGACTTGGATTTTAAAGGCATCAACAAAGTAAATTTTTCTTCTCCCAAAGTTGAAGAAAATATTCAATAATTTAGCATATAAGAGAAACTATAGGAGAAGACAATATACTTTGCATTCTAGTACTGAATTGTGTATGGTTTACTGTGGTACTTAGTATCACCAACTAAAGCATTAACTATCATGTGTGAAGTGATAGGCTTTGCACAGCTAATAAGTGTTGTTGATAATAAAAAAATTTTCAAAAGTTGTAGTATGAGAGAGCAAAATTAGAAAGTTGAACTACATAGGAAAAATGTAAATGAAGATTTCGATATTCTTATAGGTTTAGTCAAATATGCCAAAAAGAAAGATATACCTCTACTAAGGCCTTTCATACAAACCAAAAGTCTGTTCCAAAATGTTTGCTTATTGGAGGAAAGCTGGAGTATATTTATATAGCTCATTTGTTCATGAGTATTAGAGTTTGTTTTAAGAGATTCATTCCAGAGGAAGGTTGAAGTTTGTTTAACTCTATATGTTCGGGCTTGGTTATCTTCATCAAACTTTTAACCATGAAATATAACTTCGAATGTACCAAGTGAATGTTACAATTCTACTGTACAGTAAAAAAAATCATATTTCTATTGAAGAATTCTAACTTTTTATTTTTATTAAACCTTTACTAAATCAGTCTAATAAAAGGTAATTTTCATATTACTTTTAGATAATCACTAGGATCTCCTTAATGAATACCATAAGTTTGTTTTTTATAAAACTTTACACTTTATCCTTTATTTTCTCTACTCTAACACTGATTGTAGTGAATTCATCTGTAGGGAAACTTAAAAATGTGAAATAAAGTCAAAAATACTTTTTATTTTCAAGAGTGACAGCAAATTGCAATAGACAATTACAACTATTTAACTTAAAAGCTTTAGGTTTCTTAACATTTTATAACTGCTTTCATTTAATTTCATTATTTTATTGCTGTTTGAACCATGTCTAACTACCATAACAAGCAGTAAATCTCCAGATGGGATATTAGAGTAAACAAACAAACATCATATACATCTTAGTGCATTCCTCATACATTCCTCGAGGAGTGATGATGAAAATGGTTTATTTTTTCCATTTTTACATATTAGTTGCTTTTGTAAAAAATAAATATATAACAATCAATAAAAAAACGAGAAATTCAAAACTTACCTCAACTATATGCCAATTTACACTTGAGTACCTGCTTTTGTATGCCTTTGTTTTTATATCTATACTGGTTGTCCAAAAATAATTCATGTAGCTTTCAAATACGTATTTTACAAAACTACAAACATAACACTTACTAGATTAGATTGTCCTAAAACTTATGTAATTTATCTGGCTTTTTAACTAACTTATAAATAGGTTAAAAATTTTCATTACTTCTTGGAGCAACATCTATGGTCAACAAATATCAAGCTACAATAGCAAATTATAAATGTTTACTGCTCAAACAAAAGAGACTATCACATGATTAATGCAGTGCAGGATTTGCTGTTTCCATTGGATATAAATATGTCCTGTAACAATTAGACATATTTTTTAAACAACAGGGTATGGGAGTGGTTTGTCAATGTGGGTTGAACAAATATAGTGATATCTCAGTAAAGTAATAAGTATAAAATACAAATTCTAGCTTATCAGTACCTATAGCACATTTCTAACTGGTTGAAAAATCTGAAGCATTTGAAAGGGAAATTTTAAAACTTCTATAAATGAGAAATCACAGTGAGATTTTCAGATTGAGAATTTAACTATTTCCTCTTAAAACTAAGAAATTAAAACTTTGATAATATAAAAAAATTATTTGTAAGTATGTTTTGATGCCAAGCTTATTAAAATACAATAATAATAAAGTTGTCTAACTATGTAGTGAATATATCTTTATAAAAGGTTGTAAAATACACATTTAACCCTAACCTGTATTCATAATAGGGTTAAATGAAGTTTGTTAGAGCTTGTATGTTGGAACCAAGTTAGAGTTTAGAGAACTTACTTGTTAGAGGAAAATTGGAGCTTGTTCAAAATGAAAACAAGCAGCTTATAAACCTGATATTTTACATCTTTTTAAAACTCATAGAGTAAGTATTAATAGATCCAAGAGCCCTACAAATTTGAAACTCTCACGTTTTTGTCTATTAAGCTCTATATTAACATATATATCTCAAAACTCCCAAAAAGTGCTCAAGATAAGGAATCTACTTGATATCTTCCCTGGATGTGTTTGTTTAGAATGTCACCACTAAAACTCACATTTATTAAAGAAAACTAGGTGTTGTCTTACAAAAGGGTATTTATTTCTTAAAATTGGTGGAAAGCAAACTGTAAGAAATTGTAAAAATTCTGTTTGGAAGAAAGTGGTTGGTGAAGAATGAACTGAAGCTATGTTGGTCTATATCTATGTTAAGACTTCTGATGGTTACTTGAATAAGAAAACTTTAACTTGCTTACAATACTAAAATTCTCAAAAGAATGAATCTGTAGATTTTTGTTACAGTTAAAAAAATTGGGCATTCTCAGTGAATAGACATGATTATGAAAAATTAATTCTTATATTTTTAGAATTATAACCAAGCATTAGAATATGGCAATTTGGAAAAATATTTTATTTTTGTGCAAGAAGAAACTAGGACTGTGAAATTTGTTTTTAAATGATTACAATCGAAAACTACAACTGTTTTTGTTATTATTATGTTGAAAGAGATAAACAGTTCTGACAATGGTAGGTATGAATGTAAGTTCTGAATTTAGGAGTCATAAAATTGGATGCATAGTTGAATTCTTTATCAAATGACAGCGAACATACATAAAAAACGAACATACTAAAGTGTTAGTTATAAAACTGAGTTACTAAGAAAAGTAATTAATATTTGTATTTGGAGCACAAAACCAGGACTTAGCTGAAAATTGTTAGGAGCTTTGATAGACTGCCCATGAAAAATGGTAAAGCTAGATGTAGAAATTTAAATATTTTAAAAAATAATTTTCCAAGTTTAAACAAACTATGAAATGGTTTATTTAATGATTGGTTTTTGATGTTACTTAGTTTGTTTAAAATTATGTTGGATAGAAAAATGAATAGCAAGTGTTCAGCTCTGGTTGATAGATGGATGGTTGATAGCAGAACTTATGTGTCAACATTCATTTTTACATTTTAGGAAATGAAAGAAAGAAATCACTGGGAAAAAACACAAGCACATTATATCCTGTGGTTTCAAATACATCTTTACATTCATATGAAACATTTTATATTTACACTTAGATCAAGTCTAACTCAGTAAACAGGGAAGCTAATGAATCCTGATTGAACTTGCTACTATTATTAGTAATAAGTTAGTGTATACAAGTTAGACCTTTAGTTAATAATGTTGTCATATTTTCTTTACCTGATGGATCGTCTTTGCTCAGCCATTTGTGTTCAGGCTTCCAGATTTATTGATATCTACAACATCAAACACATGTATAAGTAACAGATTTACAATAAATATTGATACAATAACAAATACTGCCACAAAAAACACAGAAATAAGCAGATTAGTAGAACTGTTTAGACTTCAGTAAGTTTATTAACAGTGTTACTGTTCACACAAACTTTAAAAAAAGCTTCATGATTGATATAAAAAGCACAATGTTACATAAAACTAAGTAATATAAGATCAGCAATACAGAATAACATTAAGACCAAAAATAAAATAAGCTTAAAAGTTGTTGGATTTAGATATATCATAAAATATTAAATTTTAAAAATAAATTATGTTTCATATGTTGAAAGAAACATTACACAATTTTTAGAAAGGTGATACTGATAATTATATGTTTGTTAACCAACAAAACAAAATCAATTTCTGTTAGGTTACAAATTTTCAAGTAATGCCTAACAACCACATAAGACTTTTGAAATAGCTTATTTAACAAATACAACATTGAGTTTGGCTGTATCATGCTTTGACTGAATAATAACTAACTATAATATTAGCTTTGGTTGAATGATGCTTTCATTGGATAACTAACAACTGTAACACTGGCTTTGTCTGTACCATGATTTACTGGTTAATAAATAAAAAATACAACATTGGCCTTGACTATAGCATGATTTCATTGGATGATAAACATTTGTATATAATACGAAACCATAAGTTTTGTCCATTCTGAAGGCATTGTTCTCAAATTCTGTGTATATATATTACAAATGTTATGAGTATGCATTTAAAGGTAAAATTATGTACATTAAAATGGTTTATTTAAATTGCACTTCCTGGAGCTATGCCTCGACTGACGAAGATTGCCATCATCTTTTCGAGAAGCATAAACACTTTCAGAGTGACATCCCTGACATCACAAAACTATTTGTTTTATTTTACTTTGGGAGAGTTTTGCATTAATTATTGAAAAGAAAGCATAAACTAATAGTTTTCCTCTTCCGATGTGATGAAATGAGCTTCTGATTTGTTTTATTACTTTATTTCTTTAATTTTTAAATTCTACTGCATGAGGCTCTTATGTTCTGTAATGTACTCTGTCATATAGTTGTTTGAGTCTTATTTCCTTTTTTTGGATCTGATTCACTCAAATGCATTTGCACAATTGCACACAGCTGTGTATGCTATTATTATTTTGTTTATGATCCATCAATTCAAAGTTAACATGTGTCATAACCCTATTTCCATTCATTGCAAGGATACATTATTTCAACTTTCAAAGGAACAATATTTTAAATACTATAAGTGCTTTGTGATGCTATAATTATTAGGGAGCCTAAATCAATTCTAGTTATTCTCAAAACATGTGCTAACAAACTGTTGTGAACCTGTAACAGTCAATATGAAAACAAGCAGGAATTTTACTTTTTTAGAAACTGAAAGCAGAACCTCCATTTATTTGTAATGATAACACAATAAACTTTAAACTATACCTATTTAAGTTTGTACTGATGTTATCACAAACTACAATAACCAACTATGTTATCAATTTTGAAATTGTGATGGTCAAATATTTTAAACGGTATAAAACAGCCACATTAGTAGATTAATCACTTAGCTCTGCTGAGAGGACTGAAAAATCCACAATGATAGCTTAGTGGATGAGATTTATTTTTGTGGTGAGTGAGATGGCCAGGGAGTTTTGGTAGTGCTATCCTACCCTTTTAGTCAAGAACTAATATGGCAACAGTAAAACAGGATTATTGATAAAAAATAAACTCTATAATCCTCTCTGTACTAAGCATATCTATTTACACTTAATGGAAACATCTCCAACAAAAGTTGAATAAATAATTTCATTGCACTGTCATTATTAATAAGACTCCCATCTTTCCCAGCCAAAATCAACAGTTTATAGGGTGCCTAGCTATAGGCATGTATAAATCATTCAAGGATTTTCATATAGCTAATGACTGCCTTACTTATATTCTCTGATCATGCAAATCAGGTTATAAGTACCATTTTGAAAACATTATGCAAGCATTGAATAAGACCCTATATTAAAACAGATATATATATACTATGTACATGAATAGACAAATATGGCTAAAAGAAATACTTTTTTGGCAAAAAAAAATTAGGTTGAGCTGGTCTGTAGTTATTGGATTAACCTTTCAGCCCAGTTAGTGGAAGAAGCTGGTTTTTGGATATTGTTGAACTGGGAAATTGAACTCCGAGAAACACTATAATAAAAAACTAGCATCCAGTTGTTAAAATTATGACTTTGTTAAATTGAAGAAGGAAGCTTTTCTGTGAGAGTTGTAGTTGCAGAATAGATAAAAGACCCTGCACATATTATTGTGAGATAATATTTTCATTCAGCTGATAACAGCACTTTGTTACCCAAATTTATCAGAATGGGATTCTGTAGGTATCATTTTCTAAATTGCATCTTCTGAGCTACAACTATCTTTTTCTTCCTGTATTTCAGATTTAAAAATTTAATCCATTTTGCAAAAATATTTTATAACATATTTGAAGTTATTAGAAAATGGGTTCTAAACAGAGGCTCAGGGATTCTATTTATTGTGTGAGTGTGTAAAACACTATTCCTGTTCCATAATCCAAATGTTAAAATGTGTACTTACAGGATACTGAGAGCAAGGTTTCATTAAATGCTATGAAGGAGGTATAGCTTTTAATTTTTTCTTTTGTTTTTACAAGAGATGATATTAGCAGTATTCTTGACTTGAGCATCCTATGGAAAATATTAGAATTATCCTAAATCATATATATATTAATCAAAATTCCTAGATATTGAGATTAAAAACAGATAGAGCATTATGACAACACAAGGTTTTCCAGATGGTTTTAAAAACTTTACCCAATGATGTTATATGTTACCTGAGCAATGGAAAGGGCATGAACTTAGTTTAAATATTTTAAAAAATGTTTCATAAAGCGCCAGATGGAATATTAGCTAAGAAATTACACTGTGAGGGTGGTTAGATCAAAGAAAGCAAGAGCTTATCATTGAAGTCCAGTCAAACTGGACCCTTATTACTAGTGTAGTGTCTCAGAGGTTAGTGCTTAAGCCTTTGTTTTTTCTTATTTAAATTAATGATACTGATAGAAGAATAATTAGTAAGTTAGTAGTTTCATGAGGGCATTAAAATTCTTTGGTATTTCTGGACTTATTAATGATGTTTGAGGTACTACAAAATTACTTGGATCAATCTATAAGTCAAAGAAAGCTTTGACAAATTACCTTTAATTATAACAATTGCAAGGTAATGCATTTGGCTTGTGATAATTTTGATCACATATTCAACATAGACGAGAACCCACTCAGCAGTATAATTGAAGAAAAGGATTATGACTTAGTGGTAGATAAGTCACTCATACAGTTGAGGCAGTGCTTTGATGCTGGTAATAAATTTAAATGAATTTTAGGGTGCATTTAAAATATATGGTGATTACAAGTCAAAATAGGTAATTATCTCTATACAAATCATCAGTTAGGGTTCACCTGAAATACAGAGTACAGTTTGGGTTTGCTTATAAGTAAGAGAGTATGCAGACTTGTTAAAAAAATAGTAAAAGGCAATGTTATTGAAGTTTACAAGACTACCTAAGGAAGGGGATAAGAGAGGTCTACAGGATTTCTCTGTGCTTTATTCTAAAGACAATAGAATGAGAAGTTGCAAATTCAAGATTTGGATAAAAGACAGGTCCAGTTAAAACAGTTCTATTTCTCTAACAAAATGATTGTTATATTGAAAGAGCTGTCATTGACAGTAGTGCAAGCCAACACCTTACAACAGCCTAAGAGGAAATGATAGTTTTATGAAAAAAGGATTACTTTTTCTTTTTTTTGCTCAAGGATGATTATGCAGAGATTGCCTTGAAACTGAGTTAGTGGTGAAGACAAGGAAATGGTAACTTGAAATCTAGTGAAGTTTATTAGCTTCAATCAGTTATATAATGTCTGCCTGTGAATTTCTAGAGCAACATTGCTTATTTTGTCAGCTCTGTGAATAATGTTACTGTTAACTGTCAGAATGCAGAAGTAATACTGACACTGCATGACAGAGGCAGTGATACTGACCTGAAATAAGCCATTCACTGTTTATAAACTTGATGACAGAAATATATGTTGTAAACTTTAGGCTTGCTTGCATTGTCACTAATACTAATAGTAATACTAGTAAAATAAATAAAATTTGACAAATTTATAAATAAAATAATTTCACATACAACCTCAGTATAATAAGGTCCAAAACTAATACTAATAGTCATCACTTCTTAATAAAATGTAATGTAGTATATAACATCTGGGCAAAAGGGGGTACAATTAGCCCTTATTTGTTTATTAGCTTACATCTATAAACAGTAAGGTATTAGTTGGTATGTTTATCGATGTTATTGTTAGTAGCAGTAGTACTAGGGTCCCACACATACACACAAAAGAAAAAAACGAAAAAGATTCTCACAAGTTTAACAAGCTTTTTGATTAACCTTAAGTTAACCCATCATAGTACTTTAAGTTAAGTAATTACAAACACAATTAAAATTATTTATAGTTCCATTCCAACTTTTTACTTACCCGCGGATTTCATTACGCCACCTAACGATGGAATATTTAAATACTTAAGTCAGTTCCACCAAATTTAAGCATTTAGTAAATAATTAGTTAACGACCCCCGTTAGCCAACTTTTTGTATTATTTTACATGCTTAAAATAACTAAACATACAAACATCGACGACAAAAATGTAACACTATGAATGCAACAATCAGACATATCAAAGAACTAGCATGTAAATAAAAATAAAATAAACAGCTTTCCAATATTATATTCTTTGTAATGTCATCTCTTCATTAGGTTCTCTGTCTTTATCTTGATCTTTATTCCGCTCTTGCTTGTCATACTGCTTGCCTTCCGTTTAGCTCCTTTACATTTACTGCATCCATCATATCTGAATGAAACCCATCCAGTTGGAAAATAATCTTATGTTGACCAAGAGCGATAATCGCTACCATGCCTCTCGTCATTTACTCTGTACGTATATGGTGACTGTAACAATTGGTACTGAAGATATATATATTATTAATTGATACAAGATAGCAAGAAAGAACATCCTCCAGATTAACGGATATATTTAACTGTTTTTTAAGGTTTAATGCTGTAATCTCGCTTTTAAAATATTATTGATATTAATCTCTAATAATCCTGTGTATAATCTGTTATTTTGCTGGTCGTGAGACAACTTGAAGTTGAGAAGAATAATATGTTCAACATCATTTGGACTGGCGAAAATAATGTTTCAAATTAACCACATACCACTTTCAAAACTGAAACTTAATCACAGTTCTATAGGGAGATAATAATTCAATAAAAATGCTGTTTTAAATTATCATAGTTTACATTATTATGGTTGGATGTTATTTATTTATATTTATATTTTAGAATGCCAAAGAAAAGCTGATCCTCACGAGAGGACGTCACCTACAAGAAGTCGTGGTAAACAATGATTGGAACGATTGTTATTTGGCTGAGAAAAGTTACGGATGACTTTTAGTTAAACCTATATATATCTGTAATGATTTACTCAGGAAATCGGTAATTGTACGTATATTTTTCTTTTTATGTTTGCTAAGTATTTTTGATAGAAAACCCTGGGTAAAGTAGATCTAATTTGTTAAAATTTTGTATGATGAAGCTTATTCGAATCTCAAACTCAAAATTCGATTTTCATTTAAACTAATTTGTTATGTACTGCAGTGTTAAAACTAAGTAAAACTAATTTTAGTAAAAACAAAATACTTTAAATAGTAATCCAGGCTCTTAGGTCTCCTCTTTATAATTAAGTGCAAATATTACAGCGGAATTTTTTAAAATTTATATTTACTTGAGGTTTTATAATAAGTTCTTTATAGTTTATTTCAGTTGGTTTTAATTTAATATTTAATAATAAGCCACAGTCTTAATTTCAAGATTAAAACTTGCCTCTAGTACTTACACTAACATATGTGCACTGTCTACAGAAATTGTGCTAAGTAGTTTGCAGTGAAAATGTAAAATATAATTGGTGGTCACGTGACTGAATTCATAGGTTATTGATAGTGTAGTTGAACTCGAGAATGGATATACATGTTATAATTTCTACAATAAGTATTTTTATGACTTTTCTCTCCAGAACAAATTTTTAATAAACAGTATGAAAACAACACGGAGAATCCTGGTTATCTTGTTCTCTCAAGCTATGTGAGTTTGGTTGTAGATTTCAGAGAATTCTAGATAAATTGTTGTCTTTTGGCATAACTGAGTTTGGTTAGTTTCAGAGAATCCTGGTTTTCTTGCTTTAACAGAACAGTTGAGTTTACTCATAGATTTCACATAAAACGTTCTTCTTCCTCTTCAAAATCAGTACAATGTTTTTCTCATTGTATTGTTTGTTTGTTTTTCATTCTAATTTTTGTGGATCTTTTAAAATGTTCAGTCTTAATTTTCTGCTTTGACTTTAGAATTATTTTAATGATACTGTTTGTCCTACACTTATGATTAGTTATTTAATATTTGATTTTCTAATATAAAGATTTATTATTAATTATGAGAGTTCCTTTGATGTTATGTTGTTAAATGTTAAAGACCGATGGAAATTCAAAGAAACAGTTGAATAATAAAAACATCTAATATTATTGAATAGAAAAATCTACCCACTTCTCAATTCCATATAAAAAGTAATATTTAAGGAAAGAAACATAGACGAGAAAATGAATTACTGAAGATTAATTGTTCAACTTCCAACTTTTCAAATCTGCTAATAACCGAATTTATATGTTTTTGGAAAGATGTGTTGTTTTAGTGTTTACATATATTTCAGATTAAAGAGGTAGATCTTGTGTTGCAACGAAACAAATGCAAACTCAGTATGTTACTGTTTTTATCCTGCTTTCAACTGGTGTGTCAGGAATAGAACCACCACATCCAAGCTTCACAAAGACAATAGACCCAGCAAAACTACAATCAGTTTCATCTTGTCAGGCCTGTAAC